TTAGAGTGTCTAAAACGCTCCAAAAATACGAAGCTGCTTTGTCAATACCATTTCAAAATAGTTTCTAAAAACAAAAAAGAAAGTGCTGCCAGCGAGATTTGAGCAAAGCTGCTTTCAGTCACGTTTCATCTCCATTGGCATTGACATTGAGTGAACAAAAGTGCAATCCTTTTGTTGGTAATCAGTAATTGTATTTACCGCACACATATATACAAATGTAGTTATGTTATTACAATATTTGAATGTCATTATTGCAATCAATGTTAAATTATTTGTGGCTGACAAACGGCGGCAGGCTTGCATTTGGGCGTATAAATGTGTGCTTGTGTGCGTTTTTGAGTCTGCACTTGACTGTAGTTGGCACTTCATGTTCGCCATGGCATATTTGCGGCAACACAACAATAACAATAACAATTACAACATATATACATACCATACATACAGTCTGACTGTGAAACATAACGCCTTTGGCCAAGGTTATGGCTGGCCTGCCCACTGTGCGTATGGAAAAGTCGTTACCGCAAATTTATGTTTAAAAAACAATAAAGAAACAGAAATAACAGCGCTCGTATTGCAACAAAGTATGGGGAGAATATTGCAAAATAATAATTATAAATTGCATGCATAAATAACATGGCATTTAAAAGCAGCAAATTCCCATAATCATCATATTCGTAAGTGCAAACGGTTTACATTTCATTTTGACCTCAAACGGCGCTCATCTTCTCAGACAGATTTTATTTGTTGTTTGTTTAGCTTTGCTCATCTCATTATCTCCAACCTCAAATAGTCGAGCGCTCACGTGTATTAATCCTCACAATGAAGTCATGCATAGCTCATGTGCTTTTGTTTATATTGAGGATTTAATAGATTAACATATGTATTGAATATTATTAATCTTTTAATAGCATACTACTTTTGTTTTTAGTAGTTATTAATGTTTGAGGTTAGGGGTTTCTTAAACATACGCTGCTGTGATCGCTTTAGAAAATGTATGCAAATTTATAGAATTATTATTTTTATACCCTGAATAGGGTATATTACCATAAGTATACAACGAAGTATGTAAAACCCAAAAAGAAAACCTGGGGACAAGGTGACAAGCTGAGTCGTTTTCACCATGTCCATCTGTCTGTATATACGCAAACAAGCCCCTCTGTTTTTAGATAGTTTAGTTATTTTCTGCTCAAGAAGCTGCTCAGTTGTCGGGACCCGTACGACAAGCAAGCCATACAAACTGACCGATCCAACTCAAGTCCTTGTATAGAAAACTTTATTATTTGGACTGGTATCTTCATGCACAGATTATTATCTAAGACAGCAGTACAATCTCCGCAGAAATTGTTGAGATCAGACAACTACAGCATATAGCTGTCATACAAACTGATCGATCAAACTGAAGAATAAATTGATGAAATTTTCACAAAATTTGGCATAGCCGAGCATACTTGTATAGTTCAGATCGGTCAACTATAGCATATATGTAGCTGCCATTCGTTAACGGTTTTTCTTGCTTTCTAAACATTGAACTAAGAAAGCTCCTCCGAATTCGAAGTCAGTGAAATTTTGTGCTATTTTAGGCCTCACTTTAAGGGGCACACCTTATGTGAAATTAAAAAAAATGTATTTAAAATTTTTTTCGACATAACCTCAATAATAATCATATTAGTAATCAGCAAACAACTGTTTACGGTTATGGTTGAAACCAAAACCAAGCTCTATGTTTATGGTTTGGCAACGACATTACCAATCGAACTCACTCTTAGTTGTATCAGCTGTTTATGCCATTATGATTATTTCAATTCTCTTGCTCTAAAGTAATCAAGCAGTAGTTTATTGAAGTAATTACTTAATTTATTTTTCAGTAATTACAGTTAAAAAAATATTCAAAATTTCTATAACGTTGTGATTGTTATACCATTAATATAATATTCGTAATCGTTACAATCATTAAATATTTTAATATGATTTCGGATTGATAATCGAACATTGAGAAATCAAAATGATCAATTATGTAGAAATTTTATTTTATAATCATTATATCGTAATGTTAAAAAGTTCTCTAATAGTTGGAAAATATTTTTTTTCTTTTATTCAAGGACATCCGGCTTATGTTATGTGTTGTTGTTTCTCTTATAATATTTAAATATTAATACTGCATTTTTGCGCGTGTTCAGTTCTCTTACGGTAAAGTAATTAAGCCGAAACTTATTGAATTACATACATTAGGTTAGGTTAGGTTAGGAGGTCGATCCCAGAAGGGATCCCACTTGAACAGCTTAAGACGCCAGTCCGTTGTGATACCTACAAACTCCTATAATCCGGATCAAAAGACCCTTACAAGTCGACAAGACGTCTTGTGCTCCTCCATACAACTTTGGCAACTGGCATCGGGAAGTACACCAAGCCGTACCGCATGAGTGCCCATTGAACAGTGTCCAGTGAGAACTCCTACAATAGCGACGAGATGCACTTTGCTCAGGGCGAGAAGTTCCGCCGACCTCCTGCGATCCACTCTTGGCCAGAAGGATCTCGCGGTCGCACAGGACCTAGTTGTCGACCAGCGTCTGCTGAGTGCACGCGAGGTCCATTGATCCAACGTTAGAGCGCAAGACGCTAACGGAGATCCAACCCGATCCCATTCCGATGTGAGCGGGGCAAAGGTGCCCCCCCTGGCTAGCTCATCGGCTTTGCAGTTTCCAGCGATTCCGCTGTGACCAGGCACCCAAACGAGCCTGATGTTGAAATAGCCAGACGCTATCTCTAAAGAGGACAGACACTCCTTGACTAGCATTGATTGCACGGTACGCGCGCTCAAAGCTAGTATTGCTGCCCTACTATCAGAGTGAATGCTCACTTCTACAAACGAGGCTGCACTACGCAGCAGTACTTCTACCGCCGCCTTGATAGCAGCCACTTCCGCCAGAAAAACACTACAGTGATCCGGTAGCCTGAAGCTAAGACTGACGGAGAGCTCCTTGCAGAAAACCCAACCTCCAACCTTCCCTCCTAGCCTCGATCCATCCGTGAAAAAGCTCACCGCGCCTCTTCTCCAACGGCTTCTTCCCATCCACAATTACATACATTACTTACATTATTATTTAGTAATCTTTATTTAAAATACTGAACATTTTTACAACCATTAAAAACCCATTTTTTCAGCCACAGAAAACATCCGTTTGAATTGTTTGTATAAGTATGTAATTGTAATCATTACATTTAATTATTATAAAATAATTGGGATTGATGGCTATTTAAGTATTTAGCGCATTTAAAGATTCGAAAGTACAAGATTATTAGTACCGTTATTAATAATTATTTAAAATACTTGAAATACGGTTGGCAATAATTTTATTTCATCCATTCAAGGACATCAGGTTGGCTTATTCGTTGTTTTTGGTTATTGTTGTATTATTTAAATATTAATACTGCATTTATGAGTACCTTCAATTATCCTACACCAAAGTAATCAAGCAATAATTTATTCCAACTTAAAGAATCACATATCTTTTTATAAATTCTGCATATCTTATACTTTTATCTCAACTTGGCATCAGCAGCCCTTTTAAATGCTTTCGAAAAAAAAAATTATTTAAAATTTATGGGGTGTAAAACGTATTAATGCACACACGTAATCACAGTCGTAAATGCAGCGAAGGTGTCAGTAAATGATCGTCAATGACGAAGAGCTGTGGCAGCCGGCAGGCTACATGGCAATCAAAGCAGCAAAGCGATTACCGCAGATGAGCATTTTTACAACTTCAGCTTTTATATACTGTGGTATGTTACATATGTTCTTAAATATATGTATGTGTATTTATATGGAATACTGATGCATGCGAAAGTCAACTGTTGTTGCCACATAACTACAATAAATAGCTATAAAGAGGTGCTGGCAGTGTTGCATATTTGTTAATAAAATACATATGTACATATGTACTTAACTACAGTATTATTTTTATGAGTATATTAAAATATTGAAACCCTCTACAATTGAAGATGTCTGCAATTATTGTTGTTGTTGTTTGGTTGCATTCACCGAAGAAATCATATAAATGTCTATGCGGTCGAATGAGTCAATGCACTTCATCTTGTTCTTGTTAAATCAGAATTTTCTTTGGTGAACTTTTGCCACGCAACTATTTTTATCACAGAGGTATTGAATTACATTGAATTACCTTTTTTTCTTATAATTACCCCACTGTGCAAATGAAATATGCTGCAAATTTAGCTTCATAATTTGCTATTGTTCCTTCAATTGAAAGTATTTTTCATTATAAATAATATTCGTGAAAAAATTGAGACCATAAAAGCTGTCTTCGATTCTAAAAAAGATCTTTAATACAAATAATAATTAATTACAATTATTATTAATATTTAATTACAAATAATGATATAATTAAAATTTAATTATATTTTAGGTATTCAAATATTTAAAAAAAATGATTATTTTTGACTATTCTTTTATTATGAAATATTTTGTTATATGGTGTACCATATATTACAATAATTAAATGTAAGTGAGGTAATCTAAAAATCAAAAGTAATGGAATTTTCGGTTAACAAATATTTTTTACTAGTTTTGATTATTGATATTAATGATTATTCATTACCTATCTTTGGCTAAGCTATGAAGAAAGCATCTTTCTTTACAATAAAAGAGGAAAGTAAATTAAATATCAGTTAAAAATAATCAAAAAATAGTTCAATTACTTGTTTCTTTCTTAATATTTTTCATTTTTATAACTAATTAATATTATGTTTTCGGCTCTATATCTGTATGTGAATACAGTACATCTACTGAACTAAAGTGAACCGTTGGATTACCACTTTTAAACTAAATTTAAAAGCTTGCATTAGAGTTGTCTTCAGCTTGTGAGAACTTCATAAAACAAAATATATATTAATTTTAATTAAAATATTAATTAAAGTAGTCTCATTAAATAATTAATTTAATTTTCTAACTAATCAATCTTTTATATTTATTTTTTTCTTTACAGTTTACGACAGCATCAAAAAAATTGCGAATTTGATTTTAATTTAATATAGATTTTAAAAAATTGAAAACAACACAAAAATAAACAAAATGGGCGAACGACGTGGTACAAAAGCTTTGGAATTATGGTGCAGACGTATGACCGAGGGCTATCCAGGTGTCAAAATCGATAATATGACCACATCATGGCGAGATGGTTTGGCATTTTGCGCTATGATACATCACTTCCGCCCAGATTTAATGTAAGTGGCTCTAAAATATTATAATTTTATGTCCAGTAAAGAGAAAGAGACATTTTATTGAAGACTTGATTTTTAATTGATATTTATTTAAAAAAATATATAAAAAAATTTTATTAGTGCCAGTTTGAACTATAAAACCATTAAATTGAAAGCGTTATTCTTGAAACAAAATATAATTGTAGTAAAAGGAATTTAAATTAAATTAAAATAACTTAATATAAGATTAATTCCAAATCTTTTTACTTTCTTTCTAGTATTATATAAAAATACATATGCACGTAAAGCAGATTAATGGCTTTCGTTAATATATTTTGATAATAAAAACTTTTTACAAATTATAATAACAATAAACCATAAACATAATGCTAGCAGGCAGACTAAGTCGGCAATTATGTTAGAATTGGCTAAGGAGTGAATGGAAATTGGATTACACTCCAATAGAAAAGCAAAATGTTAATCTCTAAAAAATAACCACCCTGCAGGAAAATTCGATGTGAGCTATTAAATGTCAGAGTAAGCTTGTAATATAAAGAGTCTAGGTTGTTTTCGGAGTTGGTTTTACTGACAGCTGTTAATTGATTTATACTTAACATTGAAAGTTTCAAAATGCGATTTTATATAGGAATTTTGCAGGGAAAAACAGCTAAATAAAACGAAAGTGACAATTTCATGTAAGAAATTATATGTGTGAAAGCATTGATGGAATCTGAAACTCAGACTTTCATTCTATCCACTATAATTACCAGCAAATCGTACTCTTCACTAGTAATGCAAGTAATGAAGTAGATGAATAATAACTAAAAAAAAGAATTAAAATTATTTTTTGCGTTTAAGACGCTATAGTTACTAAAAATGTTGGGCACTTTTTTTGTTATTTTATTTTAAAATTAATTACAAAAATATGTTTAAACAACAAATATATTCTGAAGGTTCCGTTTTATATATTTTTGGCAACTATAGCTGCTTAGATGTCAAATTAGAAGCTTTTAAACATTAAAAAAAGTGCACACTTTTCAAAATGGCATTTCCGCTGTTAACTTCAGACTCTCTAGTCGATCTAATAACATATCTCTGCAAGGAACATTTTTCTGCTTTTAACATAAATGAAAATTCGAAGCGCATAAACCTACTGCCGGTTGGCACAAAACTTTGAACGACAAAGGTCAAAGAACCTACAAGTAAACAATGTATGCATACATATGTATATGTATGTATGTATGTGTGCATGTCTACATGTAAATATGTAATCACGCAACAATTGAGCTGACAAGCACGCAATGCATACGAAATTAGTATTTAGAAAGGCCATTGTAATAAAAACGTTTATATACAAGTATACAGATGTTTTTTTCTAACAAGTAGTATTGTTGTTTTCATTTGTAACGCTGCGTTTAACTGTATGACAGCTTTTAATATCACTACTATCCTGATATTAAAAGAAGTTTCAGTCATTTAATACCACTATTTATGCATATACATACATACATACATACATACATACACATTTACTTAAATACATATGTATATATGGTATATATGTTTCCTATGTCAATTGACAACAAAAAGTCAGTAGACGAGTTGCCGGCAGCTACACCAAACAATAATAATTATAATAACAACACTGTTACCGGTTTTTATGACAAATTTGGCTTACATCGCCGCTTTATAGCGGCATTTTCCGTTTGACATAAAAGAATAACAAAAAAGCACAAAGCCAAATAAAACAGTTTTGTTTAGATTTGTAGATGCGACATGAATTATAAATGTGTGTATATATGTAAATAAAAAAAATTAAAAGCCCGAGGTAACAACACTGTCGAAGCAGGTTTTTCTCTAGGTCACATTCTAAAATTTTATAAAAAATTAAGCAAATCTCCTAAACTCTGTGCCGCGCTTTGCTATTGCCAAATTAAAAACAACATTTTTTTCTGCAAATAATAATTTCAAAAACAAATAAGAGTTGACATACTATGTATAAGCCAAAAAAAATAAAAATTAATTTCCTACAAAATCTAGATATTTTTTCTAGTAGTTGGAAGCGCAATATAAATTTTTCTATCTGATAACGAGAAAAAAATCAAAAACTGTAAGGCGGAGGACCGTGTCGGGAGGTGTCTAAGAACCTCTCTTTCAGAGTACCAAGCGCAAAATAAAAATAGTATTTTATTGATCCATCCTAATTTCTATACTCTGAGTAGATAAAGACAAGTTTAAGATACCATACCCCATACTTTATATTATATTTATTATACGTTGCCGCATAAGACTATAGAACTGGTGTCGACAGGTTGGAGAACTGTCGTACTTAATATAGACATTGTCGAAGAATTAAGTAATTTTTTCATTGAAAACAAGACAACATAAAAGCAGTGTTGCGATTTTTTTGATTCAAAAATTTTGGATTAAAAATTATAATTTCATTTTTTAATCCAGTTTATTTGGGATTAAAAATTTAAAATATTATTATTTGGTTTGAATGAACGCGAAAACTGTTAATTCTAGAACAAATTCTTTTTTTTATTCTTAATTATATGCTTGAGATTTATACTTTTTTTTCAATCCCGTAATAAAAGAGTTTTCGATACAAGGACTTGATTTTGATCGATCAGTAGTATAGCAGCTATGTACGAGTATATGCAATAGTTGTCCGATATCGTCGATTCCGTGATGTGAACAGCTTCTTGGAGAGAAAAGAAGATGCACAAATTTCAGAGCGATATATATATATATATATATTTTATGGGGTCTTCCCTGTTTGCTTCTGGGTGTAACAAACTTCGTGGCGAAATTAATATACACTGTTCGGGGTATAACAAAGGTCTCTTTTTTTTGAAGGATTCTAAGATTAACACTATCGAACTGGTATCGAAATGTTTTTCTGTCTTTCCATTGCTTTTTTTTATATCCAAAAATTTCCCAAGAATAAAGCGATATTTTCAAAGATCTTTTAGCATACCTTATATTAAATAATATATATAGACTCATCTGACTAAGAAATCGCATGTTGAATTGTTCTACTTCACCGTTTTATACTGTCATTAAAAATAATTTGTCTTTGTTCGCATTAGACGCAATTATCTGACATAACGTTTTCACACACATACATATGTACGTATAAGTATGTACATATGTATATCTATTATTTCAGCTACTAATATTGTTTTAACTACTATTTGCGCTTGTACTCGTATATAGTCATTAAAAACGCGTGGCTTTGTGCATTTATTTCCAACTCCATTTCCATTCATTCGTCCGAACACCTTGTAATGCATAGTTGTTTGTTGTTGCTGCGTGCAATAAAAGCGGCGTTACTATTTCGGGCGGCTCACTCCCATGCCTTACCGAGCGCTATTATTGTATTTCACTTATGATTTCCGGTTTCCTGTAATTATAATGCACAAACAGCACAACAACAACGAAATAAATTGGAGAGATAATACAAAAAAATAAAGGCGTAACTAAAAATTGAGGGGGAAATTAATCATTTCAAGCGTTGCTGGAGAGACAAGCGTGCGGCAGAGAGGACCAAAGTGACGAGAGGCTGCGTAGACTTTAACGAACCCGTCAAATAGCTTAAAATATGTCGTTTGTTGTTGTTGCGTTGCTTTGTCTTGAACAGTTAATGCACTGCAACAACACACAGAATCAAAACCAAAAAATATGTATTAGATGAATATCCATTTGCGACAACAACCACTCCAATTGATGACTGGCTGCGCGGACCACTAATGGTTAGACAGCTGAATTTATTCAAGAAATCAAGATTTAGAAATAAAAAAAAAACAAAAAAAAAAAAACGAAACAGCCTTGTCAAGGTCTCTAAGCTTGGCTAGAGTGGTATGCACTTCAGTTTATGTATATTTATTTGTATAAATATATATCTCCGTCTGCCCCGCTGATATCTGACATTTTTGATTTAGCTGCGGTAATTCTAGCTCTCGCCAATATTTTGTTATTGAACTCGCATTTTTCATTTGATTTATTAAAAGTTGTTCGACCAGCTGCAGCGGCGTTTTTTTGATAACTTTTCGTTCTGTCTATTTGTGGTCAGCCGTTTAGGCGCTCAGCTGGCAGCTGCAAAAATTTCGTTACTTTAACGTAGTGCGTGCCGCCGCAGGTGTCGATCTATTTTTTAACCGACAAATTTAATTTTTTGCACTTTCATGATGTCAATTGAAATTAATTGCAAATTTTGAAAAAAAAAATTATGAAAAATATACAAAATTTACAAACAAATTTTTGGAATTTAAAATTTTATACAAGAGTCCGTATGTAAGTTTGTGTACCTTTAAAGCTCCCAGTAAATAGGGCTATCGGTTTTCCAACTAGTACAATATTAACAAATTGGTGGGCAGCACTGTTGCTTGTTTGATCTCAACACATGCTATCAAAGCTATATTTTGACATATCGATCGCCTACGAAAAGACAGTTAGTTATTCCCTCTAAAGTAGCCTGTTTCAAACAAGTTCAATCGCCGATCGCCGCTTGGTCAGATAAAATTCGAGTCAATTCTGGCAACAAGGAACCCGCTGTTATGAGCATTACTGGGTGCATATTTTTTTGTCCTTACGAAAATATTGAATAATTTTTTCACTTATCAACCAAACCTCATTTCATTACAATTTCAAGCAAGAATCGCTTTGCATCGAAACAAGGAGACGCAATAGTGACACTTTACATTGAAAATAATTTTGATGAGTGAGGAGACCATATTTTAACTATTTTTCAGCGCAATTAAATAAAATTACTATATTGAGGAAACAGAAAATCAATTCGAGATCCATTGAACGCAGTGTTTTACCAGAGAGTGACAGTTTGAACCAATTTTTGCGCCACTTGCAGCATTGATCCATATATGTATTTACAAAACAGTCGTTTAAGATCGTTATCGATGAATGTTGGCACAGTCTGCAAATAGGTAAAAAAAGATCTTAACGGCTACTGGTTTAAAAAAAACGAGAGGCCATTACATAATGCGAATCAAAACATTATTTATTTCTGCGACAAAAATTCCCTATAATATAAAAAATGTCCCTATATATAAATATACAAAAGATTGCATCGACTAGCTTCTCATCATACAATTTCCTCTGACTTCTTTTTGTAGCTATTATTTCAAAAGTATAGTATTCATCTATCTTCGGACTATTGATGAAATCAAGGTAAACATTCCTACCGAAATCATTGTCAACCCGAGCGAGGTCCTCGAAAAAGTAATGGTAAAGCAATAAAGCTCTTATTGCAGTAACCAATGAAAATAAATTGTTTATGTTATGGTTATGATTAGAAAAATTTCTCAGGAATATTGTTTTTTTTTCAAATTTATTCAATATGCACTCTGCAAGCGATGGCGCACCCTGTAAAAGTAAGAAAAAAGCATCGCTGCTGAGTTGAGCATCGACTCACCCAATCTATATCCTTTATGCACGAGTTCAGAGACAGTCATTAAATCTGTGTTGCTTTGCCTGGCTGTTCCTATTTTTTACCGCTGGCACACTGACTTATATATGTACATATCGTGCATACATATCTATAATATGTGCAAGTCATATGTCTGTTTGAATAATTTATGCGAAATTGCTTGAAGCAATTATAAATATTTCTCTCATAATTAACTGCGAACTGTGACACCCACTTCTAAGCGGTCGAATAAATTTATTTTCAACGTTCAAGCTACTTATTTTATAATTCGAAAATTATTTTGAAATAGAATTTTTTTGCGGTTTTGCCAAAGTAGCTTTTAATGACATTTTTGTATTAAATTATGCATAATTTGTTGGGTGACAATATAAATTAGTATATTGTATGACAACATGCTTGAAAGAAATGATGTCACCAAAAATACCGAATTTGCTATTATGCAGAATTAATAATAATCTGCCAAAAAAATAATATTACTCTTAAATTGAAATATATGAAAAAGATTTTAGAAGGTAAACAGGAAATTATAGCAGGTGGAACAGAACATCGGGCAGTCTCACATAGTAGACGATTATATGCAGCTTAAAATGTTTCGAAGTTTCGAAGATCCTCAATTATGTTCCATTTATAGTACGATTATCTAATATAAATCTAGGTAATATTAAACGTTTTCAAAATTTGTTTGTACGAGGCATATATTAAGCCTCTCTCTATTATCCCAAATATTTATATAAATTGAAATGAATCTGACAACCAATATCCCAACATGGAGGATATTATTTCCTGTATCAAATGATTGCTTTCCATAGCAGATCACAGACATGCTTGATACCAAGCTTGCTCGTACTATGGATAATTCATTTACTCTTCTCATTAAGACCTCTTTATCACTGTCGGAGATATCACTTATAGAGTAAATCGTACGAATGGAAACCTCTATCTCACTTTTATGGCTTAAGTGAAACTTTGACCATTTTCAGATGATTATACTAGTTTATAGCTAAAACCCAAGAACCAGATTATGCCATAACCGATTATCTAAAGAAATTTTAAAAGAGGTTTTTGAGAGTAAAATATGTTTAAAGCTGTCACTGAACTACAAACAAGATTTACAAGTAAATGTAAAAAAAAATATCCAATATATCCAAAATAACAAATTAGTCAGAAAAATATTCATTTCTAATTAGAATTAGTATCACATCAATATATTGCTGAGTTTTAAAGCTCAGGAGCTTTGGGAGCTATAAGATATGTATATTACTTTGGTAGTGTAGTATTTAACTTAAAATGTTTATAAAAATAAAATATACTTCGTATTATTTGTATACGTTTGATATTATTCAAATCGTATATATATATATATATATATATATATATATATACATGTACTATAAATAATATAAATATTATCTCTTTTTCTAATCGCCAGTGAATTTGACAAACTCAACAAAGCCGATGTGTATTACAATAATGAATTGGCCTTTACTACTGCGGAGAAATATTTGGGAATCCCTGCCTTATTGGATGCTGTCGATATGGCTACCTATGAAGTGCCAGACAGATTATCAATACTCACTTATCTGTCACAATTTTATCAAGTTTTTGCCGCACAAGGTAAGTGGAAAACTGGAACATACCTACATATTGGTATAACTACATATCTGATAAGAATTTTATATTTAAAAGAATTTAACATTGATAGAGTTTACAAAATAAAAATTAATTGAAATAAAGTTGCCATATGATTTCAGTCACGCTATTATATAAACAAAGTAGCAAACTAATTATTTGCTGATATCCAAATAAGCTTTTTACAAGCTTGACCGCAAAAATTAAAAATGGTTGCCACCTAACTTTTAATAAAAACTGTTTGACACTAAATTATAACTTAAAAATTCGTGAATTAAATGCATAAAAAATATAAAATACAACAATAATGCTATTTTTTGGAGTTACCACCTGACTTTCGAATAGAAAAAGTTAGAAAATGTAAATAAGTTGAATATTTATATTAGTGTGTAGAGGCAAAACTGTTAATTTCTCAAAAAATAATTAAGTATAGAGCGGGTTTACCACTTTCATTAAATATCACTAATATCATTGTTATAAAATGTGTGGTATTTAATCAACTATAATAGTAAAACTTGACTATATGGCGTTGCCACTTCATTTCGATAAAAACAATTTTTTATTCAGACTTAAAAAATGGCAAAAGACAATTTAATTAAAAACGTAAAATAAATACGCCCAAAGAATTGAAATCAGTAAATAATAAAATTAAATGACTTTATAATGTTGCCACTTGTTTCCAAGTAAAAATCATTTAGAATAACAAATATATAAAAACTTTACAATTTGTTAGAATGTGCAGCTTCAAGGTTGCATATGCTTTGGAAACCTTGAGCGTTGAAACCTGTCTACATTAGAACGTGGTTGCCACCTTTTACTATGCTAAACAGATATTTAACTGAAATTAAAAAAAAAACAGTTTATAATTGACATTCTTATATTTTCGTATTATTATAAAAAGCATGACTGCGGTGTTGCCACCTATTTTAGTATAAAAAAAAATAAGCTTTGATGTAATGTTTTTCGCCACAAACCACTAATTGAAATTAGCGTAAAATGCACTGAAAAGTGTAAAATTTGAGGTTATGCCCACATAATTATCTTAAAGCAACTATAGCAACAAAGCGGTGGAGCACCTTGACAGATTTAGAGCAAAGTTTTTGCTTAAATTAGTGATGCGCTACTATAATTTGTAACAAAAACTTATAATTTTCAATTTTCAATTTTAAATAAGTATAAAACTAAGTGTGTCGTAATTATATAGTCAAACTCTTTTCTAAGTTGTGGTGCCTCCGATACATAATTTAACGAGGCAAGCAACAGGCAACTGAGGCATTAATGCTCTTTATACAATTACGTAGCGCTTAAATATAAAAGTGAGAAAAATTGTACAATAATATTTACACATATACATACATGCATGTGTATGTACATCGGTGTATAGCAATATTTAGCGCTAAATCCACTTTCGTTAGTTCAACCTTAGTTGACTTCGAAAAGCTGCGCATTATCTTTAAATACAATGCATTATTTCCGCTTTATGCTAAAGTACCGTTATGCACAAATAATACATTGGCGATGGCACAAAGCAGCAAAAACGCCCTATTTTCAGTTAAGCATTTATTTTTAATTTTTTTATTTAAGTAATTTTTTGGATTATTTTTTGTTTTTAAGCTAAATTGAAATTGTCGGTTGGCTAAAAGGGTAACGCTTGAGTACCTCACCGCGTATATTTATCAGCGCTTTCCACCAAAACACGCGCTCAATTTGTAGTACAACGAATGAGTGCAGAAAAATCAACAACAACAACAATTGCAACACCGCTTGTGCGCGCGCCGAGTGAAAAATGCATTTTGGTGTGGGGCCGAAGCGCTGACGGTGAGGGAAAGTGCGGGCAATTTTTATTATGATTTTGTGCTAATCTACTTTTATGGCGAGGCAAAGAGTTTGTTAGCTTCTCTATTGCTGTCTTTGTTGTTTTTGTGGTTTCGGTGTGCTTTTGGATTGTTGTTATTGTTGTTGTTATCATTGTTTTTGTTATTTTCATTGTTGTTGTTTATATTGGCACGGTAATCGTTGGCGGCGTTGTTTCTCCGGGTGCAAGCAATTAACAATTTACAGTTGCAGTCAGTTACGCTGCCTGCGCATGCGCTGAAGCGTTTGATTAATTTTATTCCTATGAAGTTGATTTTTTTTAATATTTGTTTTTTGTCGTAACAAACTGCATACAAGCAACTATTCAGTTACTCTGTGGAGTATTGCTCCAATGGTAGTTTGGCTAAGCGGCAAACGGAAAGCGTTACGCTGACAATTGAGGGCATTGCACGGTTAGTGGGGTAATATGAGGCGTTATTTTTAATTGAACAGTGAAGGGGCTACGATGTATTAGTATGTACATATGTATGTATGTTTGGGGAGAATTTTAATGGCCAGAAGCACGCTCACGTTGCACTCAGTGCATTCACATACACACATATGAGCAATGTTAGGTTGATTAAAATCTTTTTTTGGGAAAAAAAATCTTTAGTTAGTAGTCTCTAGTAGTTATTAAAATTTTTATAAATTAAAATCTCATACCTAAGCAAGCATTTTATCTCTCAAAAAGCTCCCTTAATTTATAAATTTGATTTAATTATGACCTCTAAATCTTTTCAGCATTAGTCAACTTTTTCTGGTTTAGAAAAAAAATTTGAAGAAAAACTAATCTGTGGACTGAATTTCGCATTTACTTTATTAAAAAAAAAATAATTTTTCTTCACCGAATCGACAGGTTTGCTAAAAAGTCATATCGCCTAAAAATATACGACGATGGTCGTCCGCAGTTCTTAAATGCACCGATTAGGTGCTTGGATCGTTCTTTGATCTCTATAGTGAAGTACTTGACGCAGCTGCTGCCTCTTCTTGTGGTGTGATACTGAATATTAAGTGATAAATGGGGGCCTAACAAACGTCTGATGGATTATTTTGTGCCCGTATATCTTACTTTTTGAACTAAGTTTGTCATATGTGTTTTTGGAACATAATTTAAGACTCAAAAACCCATCAATAGTATGTAACAGACCACCACACTTTTCATCAAAAACCTTCTCTAAAGACTTCACACAGGTATTCCCCCGTTGAAAACTCTTTTATGAAATCGGTTTCGGCAAAAAAACTTGTTGCGATAAGCGATAAAAATGAGTCTAAAATCTTAATTCAAAAATAAATATTAAAAACGGAAAAAATCTGGCAACATTGTTATATAATCCAAAATAATAAAACGAAATAAAAATATAATTTATAAAACAAAAAATAATAATCAGACAACACTGATTGTTAAAAGTGGTAACTCTAAAACACATGACTTATTGAAACGTTTAGAAATATAAACTTGCAAAAATTAATTGTAATTGATTACCTTTTCTAACCCTCTAACTCAAAAAAACTCTATACAACTGCATTTTGTCCAAAAAAATATTTTTAAGTGCGGAACCCAACATCCAAGATATTAAAAAAAAGGAGTTAACGATACAATTTCCTGCAAAAAAAAATAAAAAAGTAAACTTTTACCAAAATTATTGCGCAATATTTCAAAATTAGCGTCAATAAGTGAATTTTCCACGCCACCGCGACGGGAGGCAGACTAACAACAATAAAACTTCAAAGAGAGTTATGTAATGAAAGCGACAGCTGACAGAAAATTTTGTAGACGCACCAATTTTTATTGCATGAAAGAAGCACACACATAAATCTTATACATATGTATACGTATGTATTAATACATACATAAAACAAAATTTGCACCACATATGTGAGTGACAACTTAGCGTCAAGGAAAACTTATTAGCGCCACAGCGGCCCTTCAAGCCACATAATGCCATCAAACGAGCGCAACAACAAAAATTGAATTTGTGTATGTGGCAAATACTGCGATTGTTGTCACAGTCACAGTCGGCGTTACAGTAGCGAAAATAGCCGCTAAGCAGGCAGCCTCTGTGGGAACAACGTTATTACCTTGATTATGCAATCACAATACCCAACAACAACAACAACAAAGAGTCGAAAAATCATACAATGCAGCAGAGTATAGAAAAAGTAAGCGCAGAAGATGATCAACGGCAGTTGAAAGAGCATGCAGCACAATCCCACACACACACAGAGGCACCCAAATACAGTGGAAAACTAAAAGGTTTGCACTTTTGACAGTTGCAACTTGCAACGAGATTTTCCAGTTGCGCCAACACGGCAGTGCCTTTCTGGCTCCCAACAGCTTACAATAACATGCAATGATTGTTGTTGTTGTTTTCGCTACCGCTACTACCGCTGCTGCTATTGCTGTTGCAATAAGTGTTAATAAAAAGTAAAAAGAATAATAACAACAACCACGTCGTGCTAATGGGGACGCGCTCTGTGCTTTGTTCGCCGCGCGGCTGAAGATGACACACTTTTGATTCGGTGGCGGAGCACCACACACACACACACACAAACAGACAAACATGCAAATACAACGCGAAGCATTGAAATGTTGCTCGTTTGTAAAAGTATTTTTATTTTTTATTTATTTCTTTTTTATTACCTCGCGTTCTACAATCGTTGTGCGGCGCTTCTCTCACTCGCAGCAACAACAACAACTGATTTTGGCATTTAACAATTGATTAAACGCGCCTTTTGATATATCACGATTCCGTTTGACTTCTGACTACACGTAGCGTAGTTTGTGGCACACTTGCGACATATAAGATGTTGCAACATTTGCACCCTGGCTTGGTGTGAGCGTTTCTGAGCTATTTGTAATCGATATTTTGTTGTTGTTTTTGTTCATTTATGATTATGCAGTATGATTGCCTACTTACGCGAAGAACGAAGATGGCAGATGGTACGAGGTCAACTCGTTAGGTCACTCATTTTTTGAAGCGTTATTTCAATATTCCACAGCATTAGCCTCTTTTTCCTTTCGTTTGTTGCTGTACAACTTTTTAAGCGGTTAACAGTTCACATTTATTGATCCTGCAAGTCCATGTCGATACGAAACTCCAAATCAAGTATAGTCCATCACCATTTGGGTA